TGGCCTCCACCTAGTAGTGATGGCCTCCAACCCAATAGCGATGGCCTACACCTAGTAGCGTCCTTGTTACTTGAACGGGTTTTCCCGCTTTGCGCGCCTCTGTGGGACCACTTGGTTGGGTCGAGCTGGTTCCTCCGTCCCCTCCAGTCACGGCGCCCGGTGGGGGCGACAACCGCACCAGGACACGGACATCAGGAGACCCCGTAAAGAGTTGATTCCCGAAGAAGGGTGTTTGCATGTGTCTAGCGCGTGTTAATTTATTTGGGTGTGGGCTCCCACCCAACCTGTCGGGACGTCTCTCGAGACGCAGCATGCCCGACCAACGGAGCCAGGTGCACCGTGGAGTTTGTGGCACACGACCCGCATTTGAGCGCGGGCTCCAGCAGCAACCTGCGAATCTTGCGCATCCTCCGGATGACGCGGCTCACGCGGATCTTCCGCGTGATCAGGCGAGGGCCCGGGCCAGGTGGTTGGGGAGATTTGGGGAAGAGAGAGTGAGAGAGAGAGAGATCTCACAGAAAAAGACCAAAAGAAAAGACCAGATTGCCAGGGTGGTGCGCTTTTTCCGGTCCTTGCGAACGCTGGTCTTTTCAATTGTCAACACCTTGAAGTCACTGTTCTGGGCGATGTTGCTCTTGGCCATGATCATGTACGTCTTTGGCGCCTTCTCTGCATGGTATAGCGCACATCAAGCTTGGAGCCAAGTGGAAAAGAAAAAAACGAGGGGATGTGTCGGTGCATCGCATGCATCATACACCCATTGAAAAAACACACACCGCACTTCGAAGCAGATGTACGTCGTTCTCCGACCACGTCGTTCCGGGTGGGTGAAGGATGACCCACATGGACCAGCGACCAGTACATCAGGCAGTGTTTGACAGTGCTCAGGCATCCTCTTCACAGACATCTCCAACAACCACATCATTGAGAGCGGAACACCCGAGGCTGGAGCGGGAAATCAGACAACCAGCCTGGAGACCTGCCAGAAAATGCCCATGTGCATGTTGGGTCCACACTTGAGTTTGCACAAGTAGATATTTTGAGCAGGCGGTGCATCCACCCCTCCGCCGTTTCGCAACGGATCGTTGAATGTCGTCTCATGGCTCTCCAGGCTCGCTGGCACGGTTCGGTCCAAAAGCCTCTAGCAGCAGTCGGTGCTCTTGGCACATCGTGTTTGGCTTTCAGAACGCCTTTTTTTACTAGTAGCTTCTTGCTCCGTTCGTAGCGATGGCCTCCACCCGGTCGTCGCTTCTTGCTTTTCGGAGTTGCCACAGGCGGAGAGCATCATCAAGCTGGAGAAGTACTTCGGCACGCTGCACGACTCGGTCCACACACTGTTCATGTCGATCTCAGGGGGGCTTGACATGGATGGATGCCACCATGGCTTTAGCTGCGGTGAGCTGGGTATGGAAATATGTCTTCTCTTGCTACATCGCCTTTAGCGTCTTTGCGGTTCCTTGGTGACAACAGTTGATTTCGAACATGATTTCTCTCGAGGGCTCAATGACAGGATTTGTTTTTCCTTCTTTTTTTTTATGGCAGAATCCCGATGCCCGGAGGACTTTGTCTGTGTTTGTGTGTTTGCCTGAGTTTCAGGGAGGGAGCACCAGCAAAGTGAGGTTTTGAATGTTATGACTGGAGCTGCTGAGCTGGTTTTGGAGCGCTTTTGTTTCGCGGTGATTGGTGTGGATTTGGGGCAAACACTAGGCCTTCCTTTCTTCTGTTTTGTTTGCGCTTCACTCGCCATCAACAGGTATTTTGTCAGTCGGCCATCAAGGGGGGCTGAACGCGACCAGGAGATGGTGGTGCAATCATTGATCATGGACAAACATCAGCTGAAGACCAGCTTGGAGAAGCTGTTTCAAAAGATCCCTATCTGAAGAACAAAGTTATTTTAATCTTTGTTAGTTTGTTGTTCCCCCCCCCACTGATTTTGTGCACCGCACTGGTGCCCAGGATGGATGACGAGAAGTCGGGGAAGTTGTCCTTGGCGAACTTCGAGAAGCATTTCCAAGATGAGGAGGTCCGTGTGCTCTTTGAGGCCCTGGACATTGGCGTCACAGACGCCTGGACATTGTTCTTGAGCTTAGACCACAATGAGGACCAGTCTGAAGTGCAACATGGTGTTCAAGCTTGACACTTTCCAGGGGAATGGACCAGTGTTTGTGGTGGTTGTGTAGCATTGGTATTCGACATGCTCAGTTGCAGTGATTCTCCGCCGGGAGGACTATCAGATCGAGGCAGAGGAGTTTCTCGAAGGTTGTCTGCAACTCCGTGGAGCGGCCAAGGCCATCGACTTGTTCATGCTGCGGAGGCAAGTCGCCAAGCTCATGCTCGTCCTGTCCGAGCCGGAGGAGACGCTCCGAGAGAAGACCGCCTGTTTGGAGGTTGAGACTTGCATGTGACATCCCAGCTCTGACGAGCTGACATGGCTGTGGGATACAAGAACCTACCATAACCATAACCTTCTGGGGATGACAGACAGATTTTCAAGATGATTGGATCAAAGGAATCTGATTTGCTGATGACACGGAGGTGTGTAGAGCTTCGTGGCAGGAATGGCGTTCCACAATCCCACAACCGTGTAGTCTTTCTGTGTAGTGAGAATTCAAGTTTGCCATCAGGTGTGGCGCCTTTGTTTTGGTGCTCTGTAGGAGTGTGTAAATTCGCTTGTGGAAGGCTGTTGATGGCGCTTTGACTGTGCCATTCTTTTTCCTTCGGCTCAAGTGGCAACCTATGCTAAGGCTGATAGACTCAGCCAAGCTCAATCCTTTTGAAGCCCTCAGGGTTTCGACACTGGATCTGCAAGTTTTTTCTCTGAAGGCTTCGCCTTGCACGCTGCGAAGGGAGTAATAATGCATCCTGCTTGCGTCACTCAACGGACAGGTGGTGACCCGATGGTATGTGTAACAGTCCGTCAACAATTGTCACTATTTTAGAACAAGTCCTTTGCTAATAGTAATAAACAATCACAATAACAACAACAAAATATAATATACAACAATAATATCAAGTAAACATAGTATAGTAATCATCATCATCTACTGTCTGCAAGGAAAAATAATACCCAAGGTATGGCCGTGACCCGATGGTCACCCGTGTGCTCGCACCTGGCAGCATGGTCAGGCCGTGGCCACGTCCAGATATCGCTGCAAGGAGTGAAAGAGTGAGAATGCTGTTTGGGGTGCTGTTCCAAATGGTTCGCAAGGAAGCTAATAATTGGGTAGGCAACAATAGTGACTATACTCCAGTGTGAATTTCAGTGTCTGTAATGAGTCATTCTGGCTCAAGATTGCTGCTGCACATCACTTAAACCAGCCAATGCGTCCTGCAAAGTGCAAGAACTTGGACAAACAAGGGGCTGCATCGGGCACTAGGAAGGTTAGGTGATGGCATTGTCGTTCGCGAACGGGGGCAATGCTCTGAAGGGAACGGCACGCCACGAGCGCCAGGCCTCGTCAAAAAGGAAGGTCTCTCAGGCCTCCGTGGAGCGAGGCCCTCATTGATTTATTTCGTTCTACACTCCCCACTGATGACTTGGCTCGACGAGTTCAGGTAAACCTGAACTCGTGCTTCTGGAGCATCCTCATCTAAACCATTCTAAACCTAAACTTGTCAGGAGGGCAGCGTGGCCAACATGACCAAGTGCTCGCAAACCTCAATGCCTGGGCCCCTGGACTCCTTCCCTCGAGTGACTTCGATTTCATTTGAACCATGTTTGACTTCGGCCCTCAAAACCAAAGACAAACATCTAGAATTTAGTTGTATTTGTGAAGATGTATCGCCGGCCATGTCACAAACTGAATGCGAGGTCTTCAGTTGAGTGAATGTATCGAAACATAGACATGTTTTGGTTTTAGTTGCAAGGTTGACGGGACCCTGGGTCAGTGTGAACCCTTTACATAGACGTCGCGGAGTGTCTGGCCCTAGGGTGCCCTGCCGGGCGGCCTGCACTGCCCATGAGCCGGAGCTGAGTAAGCGGCACTTCAGGCAGACGGCCTTCAGATGCTCATGACTGGGCAGTTGCTGTTTTTTTTTGTATCCGATTCTGGTGTCAGCATGTCAGAGCGCTTGGGCGAGGAGTTTTTTCTAAACGCTTTGGTCCAAACTGTGATGCCTTGGTCGCAGCTGCAGGCCTAATGTGGTTCCGCATGAAGAGACGTGTGGCACAAAGCTTGTGGTGGAAGGTGGCTTTGGGGAGTAGATGTCTGTGGGTCAAAATCTGGTGACCCTGCTTGACCACAAAAAAAATGAACAGAATAGGCTGAGGTCAGCCTGCCAGGGTCTAGGGCTCCGAATTTTTTGTCCCACAGCCATATGTGTTTACCGCCTGCTTCCGGTCCATCGGCCTGGACAGCCGCCTTTGGGATCAATCAACAATTCAGTGTTCTTGGCACGTCTCTTTCGCCTCAGCGATGGGTTCTTGTGAGAGCACTGCCGCCAGCTCAGCTGCCGAGATCATCATTGATCATGAGAGGCACGATAATCGGTGGTGATGCTATTCTTGTGAGAGTGATGAGCTTCGTCCCGTCAAAATGATCATATCAACCTGTTATTCCATGTTATTTGGCAGCGGCCCTGATTCACTGACGTACCACTTTCTATCTTGCTCTGCCCGGCAGATTCCTTTGCAAAGTCGGTGGGGCCGGTGGAGGACCAAAAGGAATAGTTTAAAAAACATCAGGATGGGACACTAGTAATTAGTGGGGTTGTCCAACCAGCCCTTGCTGAAGTATACAGTCAAACTATCGAGAGGCACCCGAACATGAAGAAGATGGAGCGCAAGACCATCGAGAAGTTTGGCTGGATCCCCGACATGCCTGACCATCGGGACACCGCTTTGTTTTTTTGCGGCCATCCAAGTCCCCAATCTTCATAAGTAGATCGGCTGGTCTTTTGCGATTGGTTTTTGTGCTTGGCAGGACCACTACCTGACCTTCAAGCACGTCGACGCACCACGAGAGATCAAGAAGAAGAGTGAGGGCAAGAACGAGACCCTCAGCAGCATTCACTGCCCCCCCAGATGACCCTGTGGGGCCTGAAGAGGGGGCTGCAGGCGGCGCTGCAGATCGGGTTCACATCAAGCGCCCTGTGTTGCCAATATCATTTTTGGTACCTCTCTGTTGGGTTTTTCTCTGGTGACACTGGTGCTTTGCCTCTGTGAACTCTAACATTTTTGAGGTTCGACGCGTCTTGAGTCCGTTTTCTTCAGTCGCATGACTCATTGTCCGTTTCTGGGCCCAATAGGTTCAACCTTCCGCTTGCGAAAGGACCCGAACCGATAGACCTGGGAACGTTGACGGAACTTCCCACTGGGCTGTTCGCCGGTGACGCCGCGCCGCTGTGGAAAACCGGACCAGGCTGGTGGACTTGCGCCCGTTGAACGGGGGCTTCGTGATTTTCAACCAGGGTCACTTGGGGAGCTGCACCGCCAATGCGCTGGCTGCGGCCTACCACTTCACCTTGCACAAGCAGAACGTGGAGAATGATGCGCAGTTTAAGGACTTCACCCCAAGCCGTCTGTTCATCTACTACAATGAGAGGTGAGGTGGGAGAAAAGATCTCAAGAGTGCAAAGGTTTTGAGGCTCTGGAAGGTTTGGTCATTCCCTGCCTCATCTTCTGCAGAGGTACGTGGAGGGGAGCGTGGACAAGGATGCCGGTGCCATGATCAGGGATGGCATCAAGGCTGCTGTGCGATTGGTGGGCATATGTTGGGGATGTATTCGCTGCCATTTGTCACAGATTTGCTGTCATTACTGTAGCTGCTTCCTCTCGTATCTTCGCTGCTTCTTCCTCATCTCTCAGACCCTCACAGCACATCACCCCAATCAAGGTGAGAAAGGTGAGAAAGCAGGGCTGCAAGGGGCAGCTGAACGCTGCCATTTCAGGTGATGGAGAAGATGGGCGTTTGCCCCGAGACGGTTTGGAAGTATGACGATGGTCCCGACTTCTTCAAGAAGCAGCCGGAGAAGCTTCGAACACAAGTAGGGCCATTCACTGCAGACCTTATAGGATCCCAAGTTGAACAACCAAGGGGTTGAAAAGTCAAACAACTTTGGCCACACAACGAGGAAGAGTTGCTACGAGATGGCCCAGAAGTGCATCGTGAAAGGCTATGCTCGCGTGGCCCAGGAGTCGTTCCGTGTCTTCTTTCGGGGCAGATGTGGGTTGGATGGTCGCCAAGAAGAACTGTTGGCAGTAGTGGCCCTGGGGTAGGCGATAGAAGAGTGTATCGAAGAGATTTTGCTGACTGAGAGCCGGCCTTTTGCTAGTGGCCATGGACGAGACAATCATATCCGTCAGTGACCTTCCGTGGCGCGAGGGGCCGAGACCTCACAAATACACATGCGACATAACTACATCCAATTAACATAACAAACCATATGCAAATTAAGCCTTGGACATACATTCTCGAATGTCATTAATGTCAATAAACAAAGATAGATTCTAAGATATATATCATCATAATATTAGATATTTTTTTAAAAGAATCATATATATGATTCATTCTTATAGCAATATGAATGCCGCCTTATAAAATTTTGTTCATTTTGAAGATATATATATATATATATGAAGGACGACGAAGCCTCCTAAAGCGAATATTTAATATTCTTTGAAATTTTGCAAGCTTTATAATGGCAAAATAATTCAATTTAAGCATATTTCTAATTATACATATAATATATATAAAAATATAAATATAACAATTATATCATACAATCTAAATATTAATTAAATTCAAATATTTATTAATAATTTTAATAATTAAATATATTTTTTTCATACTCAGTCCGGCCACACTGCCCCTTCCTCCCCTTTCCTGGTAGGACTTGGAGCAGATGAAGCTCTGCATCAAGCACGGCTACCCCTTTGTCTTCGGCTTTACGGTGCTCACCAGTTTCTCCCAGGCGGCCAAGGATGGGACCATGGTGATGCCACAGAAAGACGACCAGGTGCGCGGCGGGCACGCTGTGACCGCTGTGGGCTATGACGACATGAAGAAGGTTTTCATTGTCAGGCCGGGGCGCCTGGCGTAGGGCATGTTCGAGTTCTGCTCATGGACGACCAATGGAAGCTCACGGAAGCTCACGGGTTTTTCAGGGTCTCACGGGTCACTTCCGAGAGTACGTAAGCAAGAGACTTGGTGCTTGATACCGGCCAAGCACCGACATCTCCAGAGTGCTGGCTTGCTGAGGAACTCCTGGGGAGAAGGTTGGGGTGACAAGGGCTACTTCTACATGCCCTATGAGTACATTTGCCATCCTCAATTGGCACAGGAGTGGGGGATGGAAGGTAAGAGAAAGGTGAAACTCAGCAACCAGCCTTGGTGGTGGATTTCATGTCTCGTTTGCTTCGTGCTTGCAAGATTCCCACATATTCCATCATATTCCTATATATTCTTACTTCTCTAAGAAGAGCTATTTGTACTGCCACCCCAGATGGTCACCGCCAGGACTTTTGGGCCATCAATTGGGTGTCGGGCTTCAAGGATGCAGCACCTAAGAAGTGAGGCGTAGGCCGGCACCAACGGTGGCCATGGTAGTGTTGGCAACCGAAGGCTGCATGGATCCACTTGCGATCCATTTGCCGAACTGCTGACCACCCTTCCGAGCTTTGTTGAGAATGCGTGTGCTCGGGAGGTGTGGTTCGGCCGACTGACTCCAAAAAACAGCCACAGATACGGCCAAAAAGGGTGCACTTCTGGGATCTTGGGAACATGCGTAGGGACAGGACAATGGTGCATGAAGGCCTCCATCGCAACTTGAGGCAGATTCAACATATTCCTGCCACCCAGGTGTCGTACTGGCGACCTTGAGCCGCTGTGGTCCTGCGACTTCTCTGCTTCGAGGGTGCGTTTCGGGAGATCCAGCGGAGCGTGCGGTCCGGGGTGAGAAAGGGAATGGTCTCGCAAACAGCAGCAGGTGACACCCCAGTCACCGGTTTTGATCTCGGAAAGTTGAAAGCAATCACGGATTCATCCGGTTGTCAACCACGGTAAAATGATGAGGTTTGAAGCTGTCTCAGCTTTATGAGAGCATCCTCTCCTCTGCAGGTGCCAAAGGCTGGCCATCCACATGAAGAGGCTCAAAAAGTTCTGGAACAAAGTTTGAAGGCTTGTGGACGCGGAGGGCCGGCGGGTGAGCGGAGTGGGTCCTTCGGAGGTTCATGGAAGAGAGCTTTAGAATCCTTTAGGTATGTTGTTGTAAGTCTTATAAGTTATCCTTCTTCTTAAGCTTTTCCCTAAGGGATATGTTTCCTTTAGGTATGTTGTTATAAGTTATAGGTGTTTACAAGCTTTTCCTTCTTCTTAAGGGACGACGCGTCTCTCAAAGCCTCCGGGGGCGGGGCCTTCCTTTTGGAAGCTCACCACGCGCGCTTGCCGCCGCCCGCCACCTGAGGCCATGTGCGAGGACTCGGGTACTAGCCGTCTCTGGCTTGGAACCCAAGAACACAAGAAACGATGAGCGTTTGGCTAATGCACTGTCTGTAGCTTGTGCGCGTGTGCTCATGAGGCAGCACAAAACGGCTGGGATTTGATATCTGAGTCTAATTTTAGTAAATCAACATAACTGGTATACATGATTGTATATATGTATATATATATATTTTGTTATGGATATGTTTGGTGTTTTGCAGCTGTTCGTTTGCTTTGGCAAATGCATTGTCGGCATCAAGATTGTAGCAACACGTCATGCAGCTCAAAAGTGTCCGACTTGCACCAGCAGTTCTGAGAGAAGTGCATGTGTTAGTTCACACATCCAACCGTAGACTACCATCTTGTGCATACCAAGAAGCGCCAAACATCCTGTGAAGCGCCAGCTGCTCCCGCTCCAGCGCTCCTTCGGCCCAAGGCAGACGTTTCTGGACTGCGACTTCCGAGAGAACTACTTTCGCTGGACCTCGCCCGAGTCCGATTGGCTCGAGGAGGGCTTTGTGTGCGGTCGCCTGGACGGTCCCCACCAGTGACGGGGCGCAGTGTTTTCGACCCGACCGTTGGAACGGGTGGGGGAGGGCCGGTTCGTGTGGTGCGGCCGACGTTGCAGGGCATTCCATGGGTTGTTCTGAGCAAATTGGCCGGCCCGCAGCTTGAGACTCAAGTGACTAGTGCGCGAGGATGGCGCAGTGGGTGAAGGAGCAGCGCGTGCACGACTTTCTGCTGTCTCATGGCTTTGCATCAGTGAATCAGCCCAGGACTCGGCAGGGGGGGCTTGTCCAATTGGATGGCATGTACCCCATCCACGTGGCAGTGGTTCATGGCAATGCTGACATCTTGAGTCTTTTGTTGGAGTTTGGCGCTGATCCTGATGAGACCTACCAGGGCTTTTCAACCGTGCAGATGGCAGAAGAGGCTGATGAAGATGGATCACATCAGGCTGTATTGAGGTTGTTGGCCGAGGCCTTGAAGCTTGAATCTGTGAGCTTCTAGCATTGGACCTTAGTTGGGCAGGCCCAAGTTTGATTGGACCCAGTGCTAGCCGTGACTTCGTTCTGAAAGGGCAGCTTTGAAGTCTCCAAGACTCTGCAGGCGTTGGGATGCTACCTTTAGCAACTTGGCGTTTGTGGCCTAGCGTTTGGTGGCTGCTTGTGTTTAACGTGCTGAGGATTTTCGACCAATGAGTCTGACCCAAGCAAGGGCTTGGGCAGACCGCTGCCTTTAAAGACCGATTGGCCTTTCGTTTCAATAACACCTCATCCACATGTCTGGGACTCTTGAGACTGTTTGGGACTCTTGAGACTGAAGTCGCTTTGGCAAAGGTTGAGGGGTCGGATCAAAAGTGAGTCGGATCAACGGGCTGCGCAGCGAGTCGCTGCGGACACTCTTGCTACAGGCAAGGGGGAGGGATGGCTCGTGGTCCGGCTTCCACACTCCTCGAAACAATCATGGCAGATGGTATGGCCGCTTGGATTTTCTTTTCGTTTACCCACAGGTAGTTTTCCGCTTCCATGATTACTGTATTTCAGGGAGTGCAGTGTACTCGTAATGAGTCCGTTGCTTGAAAGACTCCCCCATCCGCTGTTGAGAAGCTCAATTTTGTAGCCCAACTTCTGCACTTAGTTTTGCTTTTCTGTTGGTTCAACCCTTATTGAGCTCACACCAACACCTCAACTCCTCACTCCTCGTACTGTACCTCGCATGCTTTATAACATTTCATAGTTGTCCTGTTCCTTTACTAAATGAGGAATGACAGTGGCAATCCACATCACAAGAAGCTACTAGGAGCAAAGGGCATCGCTATGAACGGAGCAATCGGACGCTACTAGTAGCTCCTGGCATTACCACTAGTAACAAGAAGCTACTAGGGGCAAAGGACATTTCTACTAGGAGCAAGGGAGCTACTAGGGGCTCCGGGCCTTACTACTAGGAGCAAGAACGCTACTAGGAGCAAACAAAAGGGTTTGTGTTGACATGAGTGGGTTGACATCCGACGCTGAGGACCTATGTGGCCGGACCGCAGGACTCGATCTACGCCCTGCAGGTGCTGCGGCGTTGGCTTTCGGGTGTGGAACTCTGCGGCACGACGGTGCCAGAGAAACAGGTGGCCTGTGGCTCGTGGTGTTGAAGACCTGAGTTTTTGGGACATGGGTTCTTTGTGGTCTTTCCCCCTTCCCGAGCACTTCACAACTCTTCCTAAAGGAAGGACAAGGGCCCTGGCGAAGCAGTGCTCTTGTCTGAATTCCGGCGGCTCGGTTTGGCAATAACTTCTTCGACCAGAATGGTCCAAGGTGATGCTAACCGCACGCACAGTGGTAGGTAGGGGTTGACAAGTGCTGAATTTCACATCATGTTCCCACTTGCAAAGGCATGATTGAGCCTCGTTCCCCATCATGTTCCCACGGGGATTTGAGGTCTCACCCATCAACGCAGATGACCGATTGCGTCAAGGGTTCGTCCCAGAGGTCCATTGGTGCACGGTTTCAGCGTCGAATGGTGTGGCCAGAGTACCCCCCACTGTGCCCCTGATAGGCCGTGAACTTGATCCGTTCCATCGACCTCTTTTCCACTCGTCCGGTGGTGGTGGTGGCGGGTGACTCAGCCGAACGTGACCACTGCGGCTCTGTTCCTGGGGGGCTGTATGGTGCAAGTGCAGGTGAAACCTGGCCATAGTTTTCCAAATGAGGTGTTCGATGACAAGTTTGCACTGAGGTGTTCGATGACAAGTTTGTACCGCCTGCGCAGTGGCATAGCTTTCCAAATGCCACGTGCTCAGCGGTTCCAACATGGCCCACCGACGCATGGGGACCCACACGGCGCCGTGGGGGGGCGTCTCACAGTGATTCTTTCACGCAGTCAGTGGTGTTGCGACCGAAGGTGATCGTCTACAAGATGTTGCCCATGAAAGGACCGGAGTACAGGTTTGTGTTGTTTGGGCAGATGCGACGAGCATCGACGCTCTAAGAACACAGATAATATGCAAAGGCAGTTTCAAATAATGTCCAGAAGAAAGGATAGACACGATAGATCACGATAGGAATTTTGTCTTGCTATACATCCCAAGCACAAAAGTGGGCAGCACCTCGGCTTGGGTTCTTGGACGACCACCACAAAAAGGTGACGTCACCCCAGAGCAATTTTTCATCTACAGTATTTCATTTTGCCATGAGTGTATCTCAAAGACACCGTCAGCAAGGTCGCCTTGCCCAAGAATCGGAGTCATCGTGTGAAAGTGACATCCAAGCTTGTTCAAGAGTGATGTCCTTTTGGCATCCACTAAGCTTGTTCAACCGTTCTCTATTTACTTGGGGCACCGGCATGAGTCAAAGGCTATGTGCGTAGTGTTTTTGTCTTTTAACTCCGGTGCCTTTGTGCATTTGGAAAGAGATTGGAGGACGCTCCGTGTCTTTCAACTTCAACAAGCTCCGGGCAATGATCGCCGCTCGGGTGCTGGTGGGCATCCAGCTGGACCGGGTGGGGTGGTGTGTGGCACGCTGCCTTCCATCCGAAGAGAGTCAAGGCACAGCACCGCGCCTTCCCCGCGGGATTTCGCCGTAGGACACGGATCAGATCATCGTGCCTGGCCTCGAAAGGAGCTGCTCCGGGCTCTCGGTGAGTGGTGCCAGGTCCATCAAGCTGCCAGAGAAAGACGCTGAACTGCCAAGCGATGATGTGAGTGGTGGTAAGGTGTATTCAATGCTACACTTTATAGCTTCTTGATGGTTCTTGTATTGGCTAGGAGTAGTTTGGCCTCCCGACACAGAGGCAATAATACATATATTTTCTAATATATATATATATATTATATATCTATACACAGACACACTTGCCCACTTGTCATGTGCAGTGTAGCAAACCTTTCTACCTGAGCATGCTTGGAACCTAAGCAACAGTTGGTTGTACTGCGAATCATTTTGAGCAGGAGGTTGTGGTATTTTGTAGATGGGGAGTTGGTTGCCACGGCAGTTGGCTTTGCAGGATGTTTGCGGCAACCAAGCGGGAGATTCACGAGTTCTACCCATGGATCATGCTGCCAGTACATTGGACACTTGGATTTGGAAGCGGTATGAAGCCAACCACTTGGCTTGGGAGTTATGACATTTGCATGGCCTTGACCCAGGGCTTTGACAGGTTGACGGCAATTCAAGATAGACATTCTAGACGCCGTAGATGCCTATGAAAGGCGCCCCCTGTGAGCTTAGCTTTCTTGACATGTGTGTGCTGCATTGTCACTCCATGTTTCTCCTTCACTCGGCTGCACCTGTGGCTGGCCTTCATGACCCCCCAGGATGTCAAGAGACGTGGCGCCCTGCATGTCTTCCGCGACGGAGTTTCGGGCCTGCACGGAGTGATGATGGAGAAGCTGTCCACAATAGACTTGCCAAACGATTGCGACCTTGTGACACCACCCTTCACATTCCAATGTATCAAAAACGATGACGATTGGGATCGCCACTTTCAGTACTCCGAAACAAAGAGACCGCGGTCAGAGCTGGGAACGGTTTGAAATGCCAGGCGAAACGCGGGGAACTCTATTCTGCATGGGGCCTGAGTCGGATGTTTTTGCAGCACGGAGCGCGCTCTCAGCGGTCAAGCGCAAGGCCGTGAGGTAGGCTCGATGATGATGGAGGTGGTGCTGATGCTGATGCTGGTGTTCCCTACCCACATTCAACATAATAAGTTGCAACTAGGACCTAAGAAAGATAAAGCCACCACCTGGCCAGTGTGTTGACGACCACTTGGCAATGAACCCGAGACCTCAATATGATAGATTTGCGGTTCTGGGGAGTTCTGCATGCGTACTTGTTCGCGGTCTTACAGCTCCTTTTTTGGGCTTTACGGTGTCCGTTGGGTGCCGTGGCCAGCGACGCGCGACGCGCGCGTTTGAGGAGATGAACTTCGAAGGCTGGAAGGGGCCTCGAACCATGAGGCAGAACAGCCCGGTGAGGGGATTCCAACTGGAAGGGGCCAGCGACACGCCATGTGACTTGAGCCTTTCCACACCCACAAGAGTGTTGCGATGACTCGCTCTTGGGAGTTGTGGGGGCAAGCAGAAGAGGTGCAAGAAGTGGGGTTTTGTCCTTTGCTTCGTGCCCGGAGGTGCCCGGAATAGTTTGGGAGCTGTCTGAAGCATGACCTTCAGGTCGACAGACTTTTCATGAACTGCTAGGTGGGGCCACGCGCATCCGTCAAGGGCTCAGCTTGGCAAGCTCTTGGCCGAGACCTTCCGTCACTGGAGGTTGGTAGATAGTTTTGGCCTCTGAAATCAGAAAACATCAATAAACAACTGTACATCAATCATCGTGGAAGATCAGCTGCTAACAAATTGTTCGAATGATCCGACAGATTGTTGGAATCATAAAACTGGATGTTGGAATCATCCGGAAAATCCTTGATGGCTCGCCATCTCCGAGAACCTGGACCTACTGGGCCTTGCCCTTCTTGTTGGATTTGCTCTATGAGCGGCTGGGGGCCCCAGCAAAGACAAGCTGCCCCTAGAAGGACACGGAGAAGGCAAAACCACAAGAGAGGCAGCATGATTTGGCAAAGAATATATAATATATAGTCTCCAGCAGAAAAAGGTCATAAGATTTTTTTACACTTCTCTTGCATACTTTTTCCATGCGCTTTTGGTTGAGTCAGTACTCGTACCCGAAGTGGGTTTTGCTCGTTCTGTGACCGGCCTGCGGCCCCCCCCTCTCTCGAGGTTTCGGGCTTCCAGCAAGCCGGGGAAGATTGAGGCACTTGCGTTGGTTTTGTTGTGCAACTTTGGCGGGTAAGAGGCCCCGTTGAGAGCCAGCTGCATTCTTGACCTCCAACCTACTAGCGATGACCTCCAACCTACTAGCGATGGCCTCCAACCTAATTGCAATGGCCTCCAACCTACTAGCGATGGCCTCCAACCTACTAGCGATGGCCTCCAACCTACTAGCGATGGCTTCCAACCTACTAGGGATGGCCTCCAACCTACTAGCGATGGCCTCCAACCCACTGAACCTGCTAGCGATTCCAACCTACTAGTGATGGCCTCCAACCTAATAGCGATGGCCTCCAACCAACTAGCGATGGGCTCCAACTTACGGCCTCCACCAACCTACTAGCCATGGCCTCCAACCTAATAGCGATGGCCTCCAACCTACGGCCTCCACCAACCTACTAGCCATGGCCTCCAACCTACTAGCGATGCCCCCCCAACCTACGGCCTCCACCAACCTAGCGATGGCCTCCAACCTACGGCCTCCACCAACCTACTAGCCATGGCCTCCAACCTACTAGCGATGGCCTCCAACCTACGGCCTCCACCAACCTACTAGCCATGGCCCACCTGTCACCTGTCACTTGCTGTGTCACCGTGTCCCTCCGGTGGAGGTCTGGGACCTGCCAGCAGCCTCCCGTTTGGGGCTCCGGTCGGTGCTCCTGAAGGGGCTGAAGCGGCCACGGGAGGCGCCATTTGAAGCTGTAGGGCCAATGGTTGAGGCCTTATCAAACACCCCCGTTTTTGGAACTTGCAGATCGGAATCATTCTTGGGCTGTCGAATTCTGATTTTAAATCAAGCAGGCCCGATACGGCTCGTTCATGAACGAGGACGAGGTGCTGCACTGCCTCGGGTTGTTTGATACTGACTGCGCATAGGTGTGAAAGGTGTCGTATGGGCCTCCAACGATCAATCTGGAAGGAAAGCCAACGGGTAGGTTGGAGGAAGATCACTTCTTGCAGCGTGAGGACATGATGAACGTGGGCTTATGGCGAGATTCGGCCAAAAAGGACGACTGGATCGACTCCACTTGGCTTTGCGAAGCATGATTCTGAATGTGATTCCCAGTCACACACCATCCTGAAGTAAAAATTGCAACCAAGCCAGATTCACTTGGTTTGAGGCATTTGGAGGGTGAAGTGATGCTTTCACTGCCCTTTCCCGTGGTTCCACACCAGGAGTGGTGCAAGTTTGACTTGGAATGGGCCTTGTACAAGGAGCGCTTTGAGGTGGCTGACAAGAGCATGTCGGACTCCAAGCCAGGAGCCTGGAGTGAGATCAAGGACGAGTGTCAATTACTGAAGTCGAAGTATCAAAACACTCATGATTCATGTATTGTTTCTTAAAATTAAACAAACACTTAAAATACACATAGAATCATACAGATACGCATTAAGCCGCATTGAAGGTGGTACCCAGATGGCGTGCCGCTGGCCTACCTCTCCATGCACAACACCAAGCAGTTCGTGGGACGCCTGGGGTCCGTGAGAGGGACACAACGAAAAAGAAGCCCTAATTCAGAAGTAAAACATGATGCAAAGAGGAAGGTAAGGGTGTAGAACTCCCCTTCAAGGGGGGGGACTTGAAGGATACGACTTCCCCTTTCCATTGCGGCAGGCTCTTCACATCCTTTCCCATGACAGTTCAAGTGACGGTGTTGGGACTGTTTTTCGGCAGAGACCGCCTCAATCTCAGGAAGTCACAGACTGGCTCCTCTCCTGGCTGGCGCGATGCGTGAAATTCAAACCCACGTGCAAGGACAAAGGCCGGGTTAGATGAAAAACAAGCTGTAGTCAAGACTCGTTCGTTTCTCATCCTTTTCAGCCAGCAGCCAGTCATTTTGCTTCTCGTCTGTTAATGTGGCACCGCATGAGCCCTACCACATCACATTTCTCCAAGCATTCACCCTTAAATCACCCGAATGCGGGCCACCCGTTTTTCGTTTGGGGGTGATCACAGGTCGGGCACCTGCGCAGAATTGCCAAGAGCCTCAGTGACCGGATCTTTAGCAGCGCGCTGCGCATGCCGAGCTGTGGGTAAACATCAATGAAATAGAGTTCTTTACCGCACAGCAGTCCTTTGCTTTGGACCCTAACTGCTCCTAACCACCTTGCTCTTAACCAACGGTTCACTTCATTCACCACTTTGCTGCAGTCACTTCATTCACCTGCTTTGCTGCTCTACTACTGGTCTGCTGGTTTGCGTCTGCTGGTCTGCTGGTGGTCCTCTTGCGTCGTCTCAGACGCGACAGCACGTCTTTTTGGAGCCACGATGAACCACTGCACTGGACATGGCATCTGTGGGAATTCACCAAGTTGTCGCAAAGATGCATTTTTAACAGAAGATCCTGTTCTGAGAACAGCAGAACTCTTCCCAAATTCCTGCAGTGCAATTTTCCGTGGTCATAGGCTTCGGGGGGGAATGATCCCACAAGAAAGCACGGCTTTAACCTTCTCTCTCTCTCTCTCTCCCTATATATATATATATATCTATATTTCTGTGCATCTTCAGACGTCTGCAGCATACATGGTCCCACCACCCGATCGACGGCACCCCAGGTCAGGAGGATTCCTCGGCCGAGCGACAGCTCCGAAGAAAACCTGGGGAATATCTGCACCATATGTGGGAGGCCTAGGCAAGTCAAGACTGGCAGTTTGAGCGATGACGACATGAGACATGAGATGGAACGGATAGATGCGGTGTGGATTCTTTTGGTCTATCACTGCGTGTATTGGAGGAGTTGCAGGCTTCTTGGCCGGATTTTTGCCCTAACTGAAGGTGTTGTTGCGTGGAACCCAGAATGGAGAAATGGATCTTCTGGGGCAAGACTTGGTTGGAAGCTCAGCGCCTCTAGGACATTGGCGAGGCCACACAGTGGCCACATGGACATGGAGGCGGCGCGCAACTGGATTCCAATGTGCTTCCTTGGTATTCCAGCTGTTTGCAGGCTCTGAGCTTTTCCGTGATGTGGAAGGGCTTCGCAGCAAAACGCAGCTCAGGTTCAGCCGCAGCGCAGATGTACCAGGCACCGGTCACGACACGCAGAAGATCAGTGCAGGTCATCTTCATCAAACCACGCCTGAAGTTAAGAATCGTACAGGCCCCGACTTAGCAAAAGAAAGGGAACCACTTCCCTTTGCTATCGGAAACCCGTTTGTGGGACCAGCATGAAAGACCGTAGCCCACGGACCTGGAAGGGGTCATCCATTCGAGTTCAGAGCCCCGACTCTCGCCGCACGTCACGAATGGTTGATGGTCGAAAGAGCGGGTTCTTGAGGCACCCCCACCGACCCCCACCGACCCCCATACCCTTTGCCATCTTTGCGTACGCGTGGAGAAACTCATCTTCTTTTCATTCAACTAATATAGATTTTTATATACAAGAATGCATCTAAACGAATTCATTTCAGAAGGAAAACACACTTGCCGGGCAAACAAGACGATTCTGGTACAAAATCAGATCGATTCTAGCAGCCCAGCACCTTCTACGATACATCAATTAATTAGCTGTATAGCTCCGCACCCGGCCCCATATCTCAGGATGGTCCGATGCCGTCGAACAACCTCGATACTGTCGCCAGGCATGATGCCGGGCATGCAGAAGAACCGCACCTGCACACTGCCATGAGCCGGCTCGCCAGTGTCAAGTCCACTTGGCCCACCAACATGAAATCCAGACGTGTTCACCGCCTGCGAGCGCAACTCCAAGAGCAGTTCAGAGACCTTTTATCTGATGCAGTCTGTTTTCAGTGTTGCCCAACCACCCCGGGTGCTTCCACACCACGATTCCGGCCTCATCCGATTCGCTGGCCCAAAGTTGGCCACTCATGGTGAGACTTCCGAAGCAAAAGGGGCGGAATGTTGCATCATGGATTCGCATGCAAAAAGGGCCAAGGCTCGTTGTATGTGATGCACGCAGTGCTGCACGCACATGGATTCAAAGGGCGTTCGCAGTCTGATAACAGTAGCAGCGGGTAACAATTGTCATACGATGCGGCTTTACGAGAAAGATGCGGAAGTATTCAGTGGGCAGATTCATTGTGCACGCCATGAAGTTGTGGGGCACCCCTCAACAGGGTATCGAAGATGTTACCGTGAATGCTGTTTCCACTCTCAGGTTGGCACCTGAGAGTGGCAGCTTGTTCAGTCGCAAAGATGCAATAGCTATGACCCCCAACACTGAACATGTCACATGGCACGGACCGCGACGTCGCGACGTCGCGTTGCGACTCGCGTGCCGTCCGCGACACACGCGACAGGCATGTGCTTTTGCTGGAGGCGCTGAGTCAGCGGATGGCACAGGTCGCGGATGAGCCAGGATCCCGAAGAGCCGCGGGAACGGGAGTCGCGGGGATCCGCCGGGGGTCGTTGCGGTTCAGAACGCCTGCTTGCAATCAAGTCGTGTGGCAGATGAGACCCAAGATGATGCCAAATCTGGATCTCTACTTGCACTTCTGGCCATCCAGTTTTAAAAGCGTATTTTTCAATCCTGGAGAATTATGGAGGGGCAACCTGGAGGTCCCCCAGTTTTCTGAAAGTTGTCAAGTCATCCACACATAGATTGGGGTGGGCGGGAAAAATTGACTCTTTGTTTATTTGTTCCCTTTCCAGAGGCTCCAGGAAGATTGAAGCCATTGAAATCTTCATTGGTTGAAAGCCCTAGCATCCCAGATTGTCTAGCATCATCATCCACTTCTCACCTATCCATCTGGATTTGGTACCCATTTCTACCACCTCAAAATCGATCAAAACCAGTGTTTTTCAACAGCAGTTCTTGATTTTCGTTGGTTTCCTGTCATTTTTCCATCTCACGAGCGCCGGACACGGGCCCACGTCTTAGGGCACGGCCGCAGCACCTTGCGGCTGTGGCGTGGACCTGCGCGACGCTGAAGTCCGATGCCATGGTGCGGCGAGCAACGACGGGTCGGTTTGCGAAACACCGGGTTTTCCGCATGAGAAGGACGTGTTCGCCGCTGCCGTGTGAGTTTGCTGGATGGTTGTGCTGGCTCTTATTTTTGGGGTATTGTTGAAGCCCGGCATGTCACAAGATGGGTAGCGAGGAAATGCTGGACACTATAGGTTTGCCTACTGCGCCACCTGCCGAATCTTCCAAGTGCGTCGTTCACGCAGTATTCTCTTCGAAGGATCATGACATATCATGACATGACCGACCCTTTTTAGACTCCCCATGTGTGCCTTCGATCCATCGACAAGACTAGGGGCAGCTGTCACCTGAGAAGGAAGGCCGCAAACTAACAAACTCGACAGGGTAACGTGACGACATTCCGGGGGGGGCCAGGCTGCAAGAAGTCCCAACGGTCCAGCCTGGGGTTTGACACCTGCCAGCTGGTTGGTGACACCAAGTCTTGTGGAGGCGCTGATTGCGGAGAGTCTTCCCCGCATCCAAGGCCGAACTGGGAAAGGAAGGGCTGAAACTGAGCGCAGATAGGGGTCCGATCGCTTGTGAAAGTGGGGGAGGCCGTAAGTGGTCATGTGTTCCCATGTGTTATCCAGCAAGGTTCCTTTTTGCTACGGCATAAAGGATTCATCAAATGATCCGAAAAAGGGGTCCAAATGCCTCGAAGCTCTTGCTCTGCCGCTTTGAAGCCGCTGTTGTACCATCGAGTGTTTTTTTCAAACGAGGAATCCGTGGCTCAAGAGTAGCTGGACGATTCCGTCAAAGAGTCGCAAGGATGACCCAAGAGAGGGCAAATGAGAAACCCACCATACCAATCTTCACATCATTTGCGGACCAATGTGGGCGCCAGAAGTTGCTGAAAGCAAACATCTACACATATGCGCACTCTTGGACACCTCCCAGTGAGGTTTTAGTGGAGGTTGAAGAATTCTGAGAGAGTCTTCACGGCCAGTTCTGTTTGACCCATCAAATTGCAACGGCTCAGCATGGTAGAATGTACCACGCGGCAGCCTTCCTGAGTGGCGCCTGGCTGCAGAACAAATGCAGCAGCTGCCAGCAACATGGCCACATGGGGTGGTGTAGTCTGGGCGACTTTGACCTAGTGACCATTAGTGACCATGTGGAAGAGAAGGATTGGCTCATCTATGGTTCAGAGCGGTCCCTCTACCCTAAGATTGGTCCATGGCACCTTCAGAGAATCAGGCTGAATTCCAGGACTGGTCATCGTGGCACAGTATTCAGATTGCTCTTTCAATTTTGGATTGCTCAGGTTGCCTTCCCTGCAGCGGGCACAAGACCCGCGCTCCCGCGTACGCGTGTCGGTGCGGTTGCATGGTGCAGCCACACCACGACTGGAGTCAGGCACCGGGAGGGGGGTTTGTGTCCAAGTGACTTGAATTTGCAAGGGAACCTTTTTTGTTTGGCTCCCTTGTCCCTTGCTCGCTCGCCGTTTTCGGATTCTGGGTGCTGAACATGGTCTTTCGCCCCCTCTAACTCTCCATGTCTTTCTTTCTTTCTTTCTTTCTCTCTCGTTATTTCTCTCTCTCTCTCTCTCTCTTGCTTGCTGAATGGGCTGAGGCCGTCAGTTGTTGAGCTACCTAGTGGTTGGGCTGTTGAGACTCGGCAAACTTGCTGACCCAAACAATGCTTCAAGGTCGGATGAGATTCTTTTCCGGGTGAGACATCCATCCATGGTCACCATGGCAGGTCTACTGTGGCGACAACAGCCTTGTGTCGAAGTGACGCTGGGTGCCATGACCAAGGACGAAATCGGAAAGCCACCGCACCCAGTTCGGAAACACCAAGACCGCCAAGCACGGAAAAGGTACGACCAATCACCAGGGGAGAGAACAAAAAGTAAGGAGAGAGGACCAAGCAGAGGAGAAGCTGGAGAAACCTGGTTGCAGGAGTCTGAGCCAGCAGAGTGGGTGGCCCAAACACCCACCTTCGGGGAGAGAGCGAAGGCGGGTTGGAGCCTTTGAGACCTTGGAGGGAAGTGAGGGTTAATTCAAGACTTTGAGACAAGAAAACATCACCTCCCCTTTGCTTTTCAGTGCTAAGAGGAAAGTGGAGGACAGTGGAGACCTTTGAATCACCGGACTTTTGGACACTTTTCAGTGCCACGCCGCCGATTTCGATGCAGGCCAGCCTTGGGACGGCTCCGCAGAGCCCGGAGGAGACACGGCGAGCCCTGTGACGCTTCACACGGAGAGCCTGTGACGCTTGTGGGAGGTCCAACCATGAAACATCCGGATTCTTTAGTTGGACAGCCCCGATGTTTTGGAGAAGAACTGGTTTTGCACAGTGGTTTTAGTCTATTTACAGGCCTTTGGCTTGCCTGGGTGAGTGGTGGCGGTGCGTTTCACCAGCCACAGGAGTGCCCCTGGCATTTCGGCGACACAATGGTCTTCACTGCGCCTGGGCAGAAGCTCAAAATCGTTTTCTTGAAAGATGGGCATCATGTTTTGGGGTGTGAATCCGACAGCATGCAATGAAGCTTTCTACATCTTTCAAGTTTTTCAAGATTGCAGGACCGCTTGTGTGCCGCATGATTCTAGCGGATTCTAGCATTGGGCAAAGATATACTATGAGGTTGCAGCTGTGGCCAGGTGCAAATGAGGACAAACAAAGACAACATAGGGGACAAGTCTACGACAAAGAGCCAACTTGGGTGGAGAGCGAGCAGGGTCTTAAATCATGAGTGCACTATGGAAGAAGAACCATAGGAACAGACTCCAGCAGATTCTTAGAGGAATGTCTTAAACCCCTGAGCCACCCAAGACAATTGGCCTCTTGGAAGGATGAAGGATAGATGCCAAAGCAGCTCTCTGCAGCCCCGGTAGTCCAACTGTTGGTAGGACAAGTCCTGCAAGTGCCTGGCACCATGTGGATCAGCACCAAGGGCGTCTAAGGTCCATCAAGACGAATGGGCAGATGCATCTGTGACCTTTCGCCTTCATGCGAAGAAGGAGAGGTGTACTTTTGAACAGATCCGTTCTTGCCAATGATCGTCGTCGTACTTGAACAGCCAGTGCCCAACCCTACATGCACATATTCATGAACAGATTGGTACTTGACACTTTGATCTTCGCAGCCGAATTGACCCAGTGCCTTCGTTGAAGGCGCGCCCCGCTGAATTCCGCAATCGGTTCTTTATGATAACTCTGTTTTGCCAGCATGACGTGCCGCTGTATGCAGAGGCATTCCCTCTCCATGCTTGTTCTTGGTAGAGTTTTCAGCCGGAGGACTTGCATCTGGGTTTCTTTCAGCTGGACTTGCAGAAGGCAATGCCCTTGGGCTGCTGCTCATTGGATTTGAGGCCTGGACCGGGTCTCTCCCTGCTCGGTTCGGGATGAGTTCGTTCTTTTTCATGTGACCCTGGGCATCCCCAGATCCAATGACCAGGGACCTTTTGCACTCAGACTTGGCTGCTCACAAAGAACAGGTAGGGTATCTTTAGGATTTGGAGAAGGCTGAGGGTCGCCCTTCTCTTTCGGATGGCGATTGAGCACGAGCATGGGGTTCTGGCCGGGCGAACCCGGCCAGCGACCGATCCGTTCCACCCGCGCTCCGCCACACCGTTCCGCCCCAGGCGACGCGTGCTGCCCATGTGCCGCAGGGTGGAGGCCAAAAGAACCGGATCGGCGGACCCGACTGGGATTGCCTGCGTTGGACTGGGATTGCCTGAGATGTGCAGGATGGATGGAGGG